GCGTCGTGTTATAGGACCTTTCTAGGCTAGAGCACTGTGATTCTTTTTAAGCTCTCTAATTTCCCATTACCTCAGGGATTTCCCGCCAATACATCAAACTCAGTATAACAAAAATGAACTGGTTTTATTTTCTTTAAAGCGTCAAAACTTCAGAATCAACTTTGTTTTCTTCATCTTCTTGAGGTGCCTCCAATTTGTTTTTGATTGCCAAGCTCTGTCGATTTTCACTTTACAAATCCTCTTACATCTTTACCACTCTTACCCTGACCACTGAGATCCTGGCATGTCAGATTATCGTTACCTAATTCCTGGACTATTGCAGTTCAAAACAAGTTTGTTTTCTTGAACCCAGTGTCTGTCTTTACAACCACCATTCTCAATCTTCTTAAAGCGCAAGTAAGACCCAATCTTCTTAAAGCAATGTTTTGATCCTTCTATTCCATGCTCAAAAATGTTGAGCCCATATTTCATTCAGGATAATTTTGAAAAGCAGCTTGATAATTAAGGTCCTCCATCATTTAATGCAATCTACAAATGTGATCATTTTTCTTTGAATTTTAGTAGTAGCTTTTACTAACTTTATGTAAGAAAAAAGATAAATATACCAACAAAATGCTCCCTCTCAGTGAGGCTACACTGACCATTATATTTCAAATTGAACCCACTGACCCCCATCCATGGATTTCCCTAGTCCCATTCCCTGCTTAATTCTTTTTCCTAAACACTGAGTACCATCTAACATACTTTATATTTTACGTATTTATTCTCTTTATATTCTTTATTTATATTATCTGTCATTAGATTATAAATTACCTACAGGTAAGGATTTTTGTCTATTTTGTTTACTCTACCCCCAATGTTTTGTCAGTGTCTGGCAAGTATTAGGTGCTCAATAAATTTTTGTTAAATAAATAAATGAGTGAGTAAAAGAAATATTTTAACCTAAATTATGAATTATTTTGTTGAATCTAGTATAATGCTTTATATAACAAAATAAGTGGTAACAAAATTTTATGTTTAAAAAAAAATCTTGATTATTTTGAAAGTTTCATAATCCTCATACACATGGTTTCTCTGTAATCAGTTTTCTTCTTTTGGCCAATGTTCAACATACCTAGTTCAGGTTTACAATGATCCTTGATTTCCAAATGTTTTTTATTGATGTTGATTTGAGAACTTGTTGGATCAGCTTTATGGGGAGTGTAGTAGGATGTGAGCTTGACCTGCTGAGGTTAGCTTTGTAACTTAAAAATAGATTCTTCATATAGGCCAAGAAAGTCTTAATATAGTAAAATTGGGAAGGCATAAGCAACCAAGTAGAAAGCATATTATTTATGATGATGCTTTGTTTTACTAAAGAAAAATTGGTTAACAAAGATAATTTATCGTTACTACATTTCCAATTTTATCTGTAATAAAGGACCAAGTTTTCATGATTGACTCCAAGTGTGAATCCGGAAAAGGACGCTGCTCTTTCAACCCCAATGTGAACACGGTGTCTGTTATGATAAGTAAGTGGAAAATAAAAGAGGGAGGGGGAAATATTTTTTAAAAAAGGAAATTAAAGAAAATAAATTCATGATACCATATGCCCATTTTGGATAGCTGCATGGATGATAACACCTGAGAAAATTAATAGAAAGAAAGTTGTGAGAAATTTTAATTTCTCATTTCCAAGAATATTCATGATTAAATGATAACCATGTATTTTTTCATCTAATATGACTGCTGTTATTTGTAGAACAAGTCAACCATTTAAAAAGCGTATGTATGTATATACATATATTAATAGGTATTGTGTATATATTAATATATATTATAAAGTAAATTTCAGTGTTTTCTGTAGTTGTTTTTCTAGTATTAATTATATTCACTTTTCCTCATGTTTTAGTAATCTTTTACAAATGATTAAAACTGGTATTTCTTTCATGCGAAATAACAGAGTGCATGTGTTAGCCAAGTACATTCTCTGTGGATTGTCTAGAAGTTGCTGTACTAAAAAAATATGCTCTTCCAAAGTGACATTAATTAAATATTTCTTACACAAAATAAAGCACTTGCTATTAGAATTGCTGAGAATTTAAGACATGAAATGAAGCCAATTAGCCATGTAACTCTTTTGTAATGTTTAAGACATAACTAATAAGGTGGTATACAGTAGGGTTAGAATCAGTCCTGTCTGCCATAAACCATCCTCTGAGTGTCCTTTTATTTTCCTTCCTGTAAACAGATATGATAATTCAGAGCTGTGCTAATAAATCTATTGAATATCAGGAATTTATAACCTCCTCTTTTGGGCATAATTGGATATAACAAAGCTGTGAAATAATTAATTACAAAGTTATCTCAATTTAACAATCATTGTATCTACAGAATACTTGTGTAGATGCTTCACAAATGTTCACAAAATTGTAAAGAAGCTAAATAGCTCAAAATTCTTTCAGGCACGTTTTGTTATCTCCCTATAATCTGTTCCCATGGACTTCAGATCTCTACCAGGAAGCAGAACTTGGCGACACAATGCCTGCCATACCCACTTGCTAACTGGTAGGGGTCCAGTTTGTGACCTGGTGAGCACATATTAAAAACATTCCATTCTCCATTCTATCCTAGGCCAACTGGTATTGCTTATTACTAAACAGTGAGCTTAGAGTGCTTTAAAATGTTTCAGTCCTGCCAAAATGACTACAATCTGAAGGTAGCCAGGAGAGTAATTCTAGAACATTAGTCAAAGAACGCAGTTGCATGGTAGTTCAATGGGCCAAACCTGATCAATTTTATTATTTTTTAATAGATACTTAACTTTGTACTCAAAGGTCATACATACCAATTTACTGCTTACTCTCCTTACTAGAATAAAAATTAATGTGGATCTTAACAAATAAGCAAAATGTCCAGTGTTGTGCACAATACAGATTAGCATATCTTATTTTGTCATTAATAATGATAATTTAATTTTACAATATCTTTTTTCTTATCTTTAAGTTTTATTTTATATGTGCTAATATGTTAAGCCATATATGGCTTATTAACATCATATTATATTGTTAACATAATGTTAACACGTTATGTGTTGCAATTGAAAAAGTAGCAGTTTGTTTACCTTAGAGAAACCTTCTAGCATAAAGATCAAAACATGTACATTTAGGGCTTCCCTGGTGGCGCAGTGGTTGAGAGTCCGCCTGCCGATGCAGGGGACACGGGTTTGTGTCCCGGTCTGGGAGGATCCTACATGTCGCGGAGCGGCTGGGCCCGTGAGCCATGGCCGCTGAGCCTGCGCGTCCGGAGCCTGTGCTCCGCAACGGGAGAGGCCACAACAGCGAGAGGCCCGCATACCGCCAAAAAAAAAAAAAAAAAAAATGTACATTTAATGATGAAATTATTTTATCATTAATAGTACTTTGACAATTTCATGTGGCTTCCATCTCATGAAATAATAATAATAAAAACTATTATTTTCAATCCATTTAGTAAAATCATAGAGTTTTTAATATGTACTGTGAACTTTTGATCATAATCCAATTCCCATAGAAGTTTGAGATTCAGGGTACTAAATGACTTATCCCTAATTCCCAGTTTAACTACGGCCAAAATTAGGAATCAAGTTTTCTCTTACAGTATTTTTTATTTATTAAAGAAGTAATAATTAAGCCATTTCTTTATTTTTATACCTATATTATTTCTGTCATTTCGGATACACACTACACTATATAATCAAGTTTAGTTAAGTATTTAGTATAATTAAGTACAGGCAGAGGAATTTTTATCTCTATATCAAAAAGATTGTTTTGGTCATTATACAGGCAATAATGAGATCAAATTAAACTTTATCCAATTTTTTAAGTTGGTGGACAATGGAAACCAATTAACAACTATAAATATTCTGTAATATGTGTCATGATCTAATAAGCAAATTCTCCTTGATTTTAAAAATAGCCTTAAAAACAGTTAAGATTTGCTTTTAATTTTGTTCACATTTGCTTTTTCATAGATGAGGAGCTTTTCTCTGCAATGTATATAGATTTCATGGGAACAGATGCAGCTATTTTTCGAAGTTTAACCAAGAGGAATGCAGTCAGAACTGATCAACACAATTCCAAATGGCTAAGTGGTAAAATAACAGTTTATGCATTTTCTGAGAATCATACTTTAAACTAATCTAATTTTATAATGAAAATTACATTCAAATGGTTAAAAAGTTAAAATATGAGTAACAACAATTCTGTACTCTGTGATTTTAAATATTTAGGCTAAATAAGTAAATGAAATGAGCCATATTTCATATTCTAACTCTTTATTAACAATCATAGAATTATCATAGGATATATGAATAAATAAAAGTGACAGTGATATTCATCATATGTACCTATAGACAAGAATCATCTCCAGTTGTTTAATTGTTGCATGTTACAATTAAACATCATTTATTTATTTGGTCTACTTGTATATTTTAATAATGCCATATCTAAACATTTTCCTAAATTTATGACAGATATCACAAATAGGGCATATTTAGGAACTCCTGTTTGTTTTATGCTTAGATTCTAAAATTATAAAGCTGGTATATATTATTTTTTCACAGTTTGACTAATACTTAATGGAAATCATAAGTATGCTAATTTTATGATTATCAGTGTTCAAATGTTTCCATTTTGGGGGTCACAAGGCATTCACATCATGAAAAGTGCTCATTTGACTTTAATGTACAATTCCAATCAGTTGCTGTTGTTTAGAGGAAGAAGAAACCACTAAGATCTTTGTCATTTCACCCTGGGGAAAATTTAAGCTGACCTTAGATTTGGCAATTCACTTAACATTGCACAGTTAAGCATGAATCACTACAGTTAAGCATCTTATTTCACTGACAGACCAGCACAAGAAAGCAGTGATTGTCCATTTACTTTTTCAAATTATTTCTCCAGTACATCTGGAAATAGAGTATTCTAAAAATTGTTTTGTTCTTGAAATAAGGAATCCCTCTATGTCTTCAAATGACTGCATTTTTTCCTTGAAAAGTTTCCCCTTCATTTCATATGCTGTATTTTAAGTAAAATGTGTTTTTCAGATCATGGACTCCCAATTCCTCATTCTGCTTCAGTGAATTTGAGTTTATATGCACTAGATTGAAAACCACACGTTTAAAAACAAACTTTTTTTTCTATGAAACGACTATCAGATCCCATGGGAAATAACTGGTAGAAAAGTTTTTCAGTATTTTAAAACTCATCAGGCACAAAGAAGTTTTGCAATTATTGTACTTCCAGAATGTATTGCAGACAGAGAAAAATAGTTTAAGCTTTATATCATAGCTATACTTTATGGCACTTGACATTCCAAATGCGGTATGTTCAGTGACTACAATTGCTTGCTTTTAGACTTTTTGGCTATGAATATTGAATTGTTCCTTTATACCAAAGATGGAGAAGGCATGTGCCTGTGGTCTACTTGGATGGAGAGTAAATGGATTTTCATCATGAGTATATATATCGTCTTTGTATTTTTTTCTAGAACCTATGTTTGTGGATGCACATGTTATCCCAGATGGCACTGATCCAAATGATGCTAAGGTGTACTTCTTCTTCAAAGAGAAACTGACCGACAATAGCAGAAGCACAAAACAGATTCATTCCATGATTGCTAGAATATGTCCTGTAAGTATTAAAGTTGTTCTAATTTGAAGAAAGACTAAGAAATTCAAATTATGTAAACATGTCTTCTTTTTCCAATAGTTTATCTTCCTACTTTTTTAATCTACAGTTACAAATTAATAAAATATTAAAAGGAGACATTTAGATTTAATGTTTATTCACATCAGTCATACAAGATAAACACACTATTTTGGAAAATAATTTAATCCAAGGAATATTTTGGTTATGGTTTTACACAAATAAACAGTTTTGATTAATTTTTGCTTTTTTCCATTTAATGCATTAGTATTAAAAAGAAATTGCTGAATTGTATATTATAGAAAGAAAATAGAACAATTCTTGTGAATAAAATACAGCAAAACATCAGTAAAAGACAATTATTGAGGAACTGTCTATAATAGTGAGAATTAAGAAATGCTTTAGTAAAATACAGTTCCAATTACAAACAGATCAAAATGTTCTTGTGTATCAAGAGTAAGTATACATAGAAACTCAAAAAAACTCATGATGTCTTCTCACATAAGAGTATTACAGGCTTGTCCTGACTCATTTATGATTAGCATCTTCTGTGCAAAAGTATTTCTTAAAATATTTAGTATTTAAAATAGTCTATTTTTAAACATTACAATATTCCACTGATTTTGGAGCTTATCTGCTTCTCAGTCATTTGGAACAAGGCAGTAAAGCCAGCTGATGATGTGAAAAGCTTCAGGGAGTACAGAAAAAATGTCATTCAATAGAGACTATTTGTGAATGATCCAAAGACCATTTTCCCTGCCCTGACCAGAGAAATATGTATATAAAGCATCTGATTAGAAATATTAAGGATTAAATGATAATGCAGTGAAATGAAGGAGAGAAAATAGAGTTATTGGGGACTATTTGGTGTAAGTATAAACCCACTCTCCTGACCACGGTAGAATCTGCACACTTCCCTGTTATACAATCATTTATGCTTGTACTGAAGAAACTGAGTTATCAAGAAAAGGCAAATTAAATTATGTAGTCTCCATAACAGTTTACTCATATTTTCATCAGAAATTTAGAAAGCGTTATGGCATATATTTATTACATTCATTTTGATACATTTTCAGTTGATATTATATAATAGGAGAATAACAGTATAACTAAGGCTATTTTTAAAAAATACTATAGATCTTAAATATTCCTCTTTAACTATTAATATGCAGATTTGGTTAAAATTTCCATCTTTCAGATTATAACAAATCCCCAAGTAGTAAGAATCCAAGGTAAATTTTAAATACACTTCAATATTTATTTAAGCAATCTGAAATGTGTTTACAAAACGGTTTCAGAATGACACTGGTGGACTGCGTAGCCTTGTCAACAAGTGGACTACCTTCTTAAAAGCGAGGCTGGTATGCTCGGTAACTGATGAAGATGGCCCGGAAACACACTTTGATGAGCTAGGTACATAAATGTGAGATTGAAAAATGTTCTTGAGAGTTTTTAAAGTTTACATATTTTAATAAACTCTCAAAAGAGGTTGTATTTTTCATGTGTTTTCAGCATAAATAAGTGCTGATTTGAATTAATGATCTGGATACTGTTCATGAATTTCCTGAAGTATTTTTTAAATCTGTCTTGCCCCTAAGTGCACTGCTGAAACATTTAGTTCATTGAATCCACCATGATATATGAATCCATGTGTTTTGTGTGTGTGTTTGTGTTTTAGAGAGAGAAGAGAGAGGTATTTATATAATTTATATATAAGTAATGATATGTTTGTGCTTTTCTAAAATAAATGTGTATTTCATATATATTTGAATTCTGATATTCTGGTTTAAAATCAGTTTGTATGAGAATACAGCTATATATTTTTACTACAGTTAATGGACAGAATAGAGGTTAGATGGAAAAGTGTCAGAGTAGAAAGTAGACTTGTGCTCCAGTTTTAGTTCTTCTTGGTGACCCTGGGACTAAATATTCTCAGCATGTGTGACATGAGGAGGGTTATACTTTCCAGGTCAAGTAAGGACTGGCAATGTGATTCCTTTCTGCTAAGGAACAGTTCTCTCTCTCTTTTTTTTTTTTTGAATTTAATTTAATTTTTTTATACAGCACATTCTTATAAGTTATCTATTTTATACATATTAGTGTATACATGTCAATCCCAATCTCCCAGTTCATCACACCCCCCCCCATCCACGCTTTTCCCCCTTGGTATCCATATGTTTCGAACAGTAGAATAAGTTGGTACACATAATAGTATCATGTTTACTAAGTGCCATTTAGAAATGACTTTTATTTTGCTTTAATCCATTAAAATATAAAATGCTGCTTAGTCTCAAATACTGAGGCAGGTGATGAGGTAAGCAATAAAAATGTATTATAATATGGAAAAAATACTGGTCCTAGCAACTACAATAACTGAAATAGACGGTCTCCTCAAAAAGCCATTATGTTGATCATAGAAACACAAGTTTTTATTTCAGCGTTTCTAGAAAAAAAGTTCTAAGTATGATTTCATGTTATAACCTAGTTACTCATTATTTCCCCCCAAATTCTTTGCAAGTATACTTATGTTTCAGTGACTTAGAATGTTTCAGTCTTTCCCGTTTTTAGGGAGAATAGACAGTGCTAGCCTTTTATAGAAAGACTAGTGGTTATTAATTTATTGCTTAAGAGGTTCTAAATTTATTGTGAATAACAAAATACATCTTTCTTTGTATTGGTCAGCAAGAATCTTATTTTCAAAAAGGTCACTAAATCCAGATCTTTCTTGCATTCATAACAATTGGTTATTAAGTGGAATTTCCTATCAGAAATTTACTTTCAGGTTCTGTTATGTATTACTGTACCTTACGATCTATACTTTTGCTTTTGCCTCAATATACTTTAAAATTCTTGTTGTTAGGGGAATTATTGATTAAATAAAAATATCACTAACAATTTTGACTAAAAGACAAAAAGTCTTATGTCATTGTGAAAAAATTTTCTTCCATGTTCCAAATTCTAACCCTAGATTAAAAAGAAATTGAGATTTGTAATACTTTTTAAATTAAAAATGTAGTATATTATCATTAAGGTTATTTAGAAAGTTCAGGAAAAAAGAAGAAACAGGAAAATTTCTGTAGCTTTGTTAACCAGAAACACTCACTGGTAATCTTTTTATTGTATTCTGATGTATAGTTTTAAGGTTTACATGGTTCTGGTCCATATTAAATACTATTGTGTCTTTTCTATTTAATATTATTTCATTAGCATAGTTTCCATAAGTGTTTGTGTAACATTTTATTTAATTTACCTTACCATGTGCTTATCATTTAGTTCCTGTCAAATTATAATGATGCTGCAGGAATGTCTTTCTGAATAATACTTTTTGTAGTTGAAATTATTTCTTAGGATAAATTTTAAATATTTGGGAATCTTAAAAATTGATATTTCTCTTTTATAGAGGATGTGTTTCTGCTGGAAACTGATAACCCAAGGACAACACTAGTGTATGGCATTTTTACAACATCAAGGTAATTATTAAACAATTACATTGTATGAGTTAAACAATAAACTTTATTAAGTAATAGTAATTATTATAAAAACGTTCTTTTCAACTCTTTAATTTTACTTAACACTTAGGATGTAACTCTCTCATTTTATTACTTTTGCCTGATTACTAAAATATATTTAAGCTGAACTCAGAGTTTCAAAATAGTTTTGTATGTGGTATTTATAATGATTATATGCTATTTTTCTCAAAGAAAGGAAAATATAAACTACAATGCAGGGATAATGTATATAAGCTATATTGTTTTAAGGAAATAATTTGAAGACTCATGATGCAAATAAAACTCTTGGCATTTCTATTATAATTTTTATTTCAATAGCAATCTAAAGTGATAGCTATGAACACACTAAACCAGTTTTCATGTTCCATGTGACAGTATTTTAGATATTTGAAAATAGCTTTGTTTTCTAATTTATCTGGAATGCCCAATCCCAATTATCATGTATTTCAAGACAGTTCAGCATATTCTCATCCTTTCCTGCGTGTATTCCTGCATACTCAATTCACACCAGGAATGTTACTGAGAATTCAGCACAGTACTCCAGTTGTGATATGGCCAATTCAGAATGTCCTTTTCATCAGACAGTCAACTACAAAATGAAAATCGAAAGATTTTACCATTCTTCTCTAGTGGGGGAAACGTGGTATAATTGTAAACTGTAATGAGCCATTCACAGTAAAAGAATATCACAGGGATATTGATTATAAATCATATTTACTTTGCCCTATAAGATATCTAAAAAGATGTCTTTCAGGATGAGTTTAACTGCTGTTTTAACAAAGGAAATAGTCTTGATTTAACTCACAAAGAATTGAACGAAGCAAAAAGAACCAAATTCTTAAGAAAAAAATGTTTGTCTCAAAAAAATATTTCCCTAGTTTCTGTGTTTCCCAACACCAATAACTTTAACATAGAAAAAATTTTGTAATTTCTGACTATTAATGCTAATGATTAATAATATATCTTGGTTTTCTCAGTGGGCATCTAAGTTTCCCATTAGGCATCTAATTTAAGATAAATATATGATTCAGAAAAATGTTGGTTTCAGTCAGTCTGCTTAGTGACAATGGAAATAGTTTTCAGTATGCATCCAAATAAATTTTATGAGAATTTATTGACTAAACATAATTTAAGGAATCTTTTTTGGATTCTATTGTTTACAGCAGAGTAGCAGGAAATGTTTACAACAATTTCTCCAACTACTATTTAGGACAGCATTGTAAGAATACTCTCACATTGAAATAATCTTAAGACAAAGAGATACAGTGTTCTCTTATTAATGAGATTTATTTCTGTGAGGTAAACTATGATAGGTTATGTTGATACTGATTTAGAATTCAAATCATATTTTTAATAAATCATCAATTCACTTTTTGTTTAATATCTTCTGCAAGATAAACCAGTTGGAAATTTCTTTGACTTGTCCTATATTTAGGACAAGTACATTGAGTACTTTTCTATAACTTATTGTCTACTACCTCCATGGGTGAACTAAATGTTCTGATGCTTTTCATATCAATGGCTTATTTCAAAACAGTAGAATTTTTTAGTTTTTTACAATGTGTACCATAACATTCAACTTTTCCATGATGAATTACATCAAGTTTTTATCACAAATTTTACCATTTATTTTTTAAATTGTATTTAAATTTTAAAAATAAGAAAATTAATATCGTTCTATTTTCTTTTTTAGCTCAGTTTTTAAAGGATCAGCAGTGTGTGTGTATCATTTATCTGATATACAGACTGTGTTTAATGGGCCTTTTGCCCACAAAGAAGGGCCCAATCATCAGCTGATTTCCTACCAGGGTCGAATTCCTTATCCTCGCCCTGGAACTGTAAGTATCCAGGAAACTTTCTTTGTTATTTTACTTTTTTAAAAAATATAAGTTACTAAGAAATGAATATCATGCTGATGTTTATTAAATACAACTATAGACCTACTGGTATACTCATTATAGTTTTTCAGCTCACAGGTTCTTAGATTTGGGATTTTAAAAATTATATATTACAGCATTCTGTACAATTTTTTCTAAGTGTTATTGATAATAAAATCTCATTTATATTTCAAGACAGCTGGATATGTTAGATAGGGAAGAGATATTTTCCTAATTTTACTGGCATAAAAACCATAGCTTGGAAAGTGTTAACATTTTGGAGGCAGCCTAAGAATTTGAATGCTCGTTGCTTTTCACAATCCTTCCTTATATTAAGGAATCTCATCTACTTTAATGAAAGAATAATCATGTGAGAATTAGTTTAGAGATAAATCATGTGGAGATATTTCAATTTTAGGGATATATTTAGTTAAAAATTATACGTTGTGTATATTTCTCAAAGAAATAAAATGGTATGTGTGAGCAAGTAATGACAGTGAAAGTGATGTAATTCAAATAAAATATTTATAAAGTTTTGTGGCATACAAATATAACCATGTCTTGCAACATTGTAGTATTAAGGGGTACATTGTAAACTACCTTTTCCAGCTGAAGTTACAGACAGTGCACTGGCAGATTGGAACTGAGTTTTTCTAGGACAATGATCACAGTCTTACTATTTGTTTTCAATTTGGACCATAATAATGCTGCATTGCATTCTAAAATATTGATTAGTTTCTGTCTCTGTAAAATGTCATACAACACACTGATTGAGAGGAGATGTTAATCCTCATATCTTTGCATTTCATCAAGTAAGGTTATATTTATAAATTGGGTTGGAGGGAAGTAAAGAATGATTTTTTTTTAATTGAAGGATGTTTATTAAAATAATATTTACTTAAAATGTTTTTCTTTTTATTTGAATATGAAATCCCCTTTGTCAATATGCTTTCAGACATTCATTCTTCGTAATTTTTACTGACTGTTGATTCACTTTAGTTTTGTGTTATTATTAGAGTTTCTTTGCAATGCATTATTTACTCCTTTGTTTTCTCATCATCTTAAAGTGTACTGCTGTCAAATGTTTTAAAAATAGAAAAAAGTGTGCTAAGCCTGTAAAGAACATGTTTATTCAAAATTAAAAGGGCTCACGTTTGGTTCCCTGGCTAGGAAGCTCAAAGATTAGTCATTGATATGTATTTTATTAGAACAATTAACTTTTAATTAATTTTGGAAAGATTATCAAAATTGCTACTTATCCAGGAAAGAATTGTTTTAAAAAGTTGTAGTTAATCATGGCTGGCAACAAAGTCTTAACCATATAATTACATTCTCCTTTTAAATGATTTCACTTTGATGCTTATAGCTCAACAGAAGGTGGAAGAAACATTTAATTATTTGGTACCACACAAGGAAAAGAAATCAACAGATATATCCATCTTAGGGTACCTCAAGTTGGAGTGTGTTGGATAAGAAGCAGGGTTTACATAAGAGAAGGGAAAGCAAGGGGAAGCTGAGTAACTTTCAAATTCCATCATAACTGAAGGCTCTCATTATTTCATTGAATGTAGTTCATGTATTTTCAAATGATTCATTGATAAAGTATCCAAAGATTTGTCATATTTTTGAGAATTGCTTGCTATTTGAATTTGATCAAGTCATTGCTTCATCTTAAATCAGCAAATTAAGAGGCAGTTGTGATTATATATGCTTTCATCAGTTATTCTTTTGAACAAAATATATATGGAATTAGTACAGGAGCAATTGATTTGTAAACTGAATAAAATTCCATTTCCCCCAAATAAAACTTTAAGAGAAACCTCTCAGATACAGATAAAAGAGAGTCACACTCATTGAATCAGGCCTCAGAACCTCAGTGAGTGTGTGCTGGGGTTAGCTTGTACCTGGCTGGCAAGAAGAGATTGTGTTCACCTCATCTCAATTGAGGAGGTCACAGTAGCAACTGGAAATCAGCCATGGTGGGATTACTACACCATGGAAATTGGCAGATGTTACAAATCAGGGTTTTTCCCCTAAAGAAAAGCGCTCTCCCTTGTCCCACAGTGCCTCATGACTCTTCACCAAATGGCAGCTCAAAAGGACTCTGAGAAGAACACTCATGTTGAATAGCAATTATCCGACATAAAATGTGAGACTAGATAAATCATTTTTAGTTAAACAATATAAACCAACGCTAAATTAGAAAATTCTGCAAACAGTCCCACTTTTCACTATTTCTAAACTCCTAAGAATAAGCATTTTTTCCTGTTCCAAAGCAGTGTGAAATAAGCCAGGGCTTAGTGACACACATCTGGAGGAGACTCCATGAAAAAAGGGAGTGAGTAGTCAGTACTTGAGACATATTTCTATAATGTGGTTTCTTACATCTGGTGCTGAGACCAGAGCAACTCCTTTAAATTAAAAAAAAAAAAATTGTCAGATGAGTAATCCTTAGGGAATAAAAGAGGCTGGGTGGAGGAATGACCTCTGGAACTGCTCCTGGAAAAGCATACCTCCCTGAAGATGTAGTTCCTCCACACTTCACTGAGCAAAACACCATGAAGTCAGCTCTCTGACTCAGAGTGGCCAGTATCTGTCTCTTTCTTGGGCTTCTAAGGTTTAATATCACCTTCATGTAGCCAGAAGACTTACAGCCAATTGACCCAAAGCATTCTTTTTCTCTAGGGTTAAGAATGTTGCCTCTGAAGCCTCCCAAGGTAGGATCAACTATGATCGCCATACTTTATTTCCCTATACAGTAGTCCAGTTGCAAGGTCAACCTCATAAATATATGACTGGATTCTTAAAGAAATGACACTGGCAGAAATCCTATACCCTCATTCTAATGTTCCTGGTAGGTGCTTCTTTTAAAGCAGCATTGATAGCTGTGTTAGCAAACTCCCAACTAGCAAGCCTAAGTCAGTAGGAAGAAGCCTGCCAATTGTGTCATAATGTTTTTCCATAAGTAATACAAGTTTGTGGAAGAAACAAGACACCTTTGGTATGTTGCAAAGGGCAGCCAAGGACTTCAGATTCTCTCTGTGGCTGAGCTAACATATTACATTATTCTGATACAACATGTTTAAGCTTCTGTAGAAGATTGTGTTTGCTTATACTATACTGTTAAAGCAGAACCTCACAAAAGTCTTCAGTTTTAACATCTGTTTATAACTGGACCAGACCATCTGCTTCAATCACCGTGCTTTGAACAGGTCTACAACCTGGTGCAGCAAAAAAACACAGAAAATTCATGATCCTGACAAAAGTGCCAGCAAAAAGGTTTCCCTTTTTCTTGGGAACCACTAATTATATGGATCATGTTCAAAGCATCTTTTGGTTGTTCTTACATTAGAAGCATTTTTATTCCTCATAGACATTTTAAAACATAGCAAAGTTTACAATAAAATTGAACACGTGAGGCATATAGGCATGAAAAGTTAATTACATATTGTTTCACATAATTATTCAAGACATATGAATAAAGCAGACAATAAATATTATTGAAGTCTAGAGAAAAAAGAGGTCGACATGGGACAGCCCTGTTTGGAAAAGCATATAAAAATATATGAGATTGAGCTGGGCCTGAAGGGTAGTTGATGTGATAATTTGGATAAGTAAGGAAGGATGTTTCAGGCAAAGGTTACTGCATACATTACAAAGCAAAGACAGAAATTAATAAGTGAATCCTAGAAGCTCTGCATGGGCTAGTAGGACTGGAACAAAGAGCTCTTTTAAATTGTGGAGGATAAATACAAGGAAGATGAGGGCCAGCTGGTGCATAAATACAAGTCTTCAACTTTGTAATTCTTTGGGCTTTAAATAAAAGGCCTAGATTACCAAGGGTTTAAACGTAAGATCAATTTCTCTCCGAACACAAGTTTCAAAGACCAATGCTAGAAACTAGCCCCAATTCTAGAATATCATTTATTTATGTCCATTTATTTATCCATATACCACTTGTCTTTCAAGTGTTAGGTCAAGCTCCTTTTGAAACATGCCAGTCACTCCTTCTGTGAATAGTTTTGCATTTATTTTCTGTTATCTGTCTTTAGCCTCAACTCCCACCTCTTTCTTTCACTTTGTACTCTGTGATTCAGGATTGCCCCAGGATTTATAGTTCCCTAAATATTCCAAACTCTTTATTTTTTTTAATCTCTAAACCTCTTCACTAATTCTGGCAGCCTTAAGTTCTCTACTATTGTAAATTCATTTTAAAAATATTGGCTCTTATTGATCATGAACCAAATTCTGTTATTTATTTTATATTTATGTTAAATTATAATTATATGTCTCAATTGTTATTTTACTTTGAATACGTCCATCTTCCTTACTAGAACACTTGTGTCTAGAAGACAATGGTAGCTCCCTATTCTTAAGTCCCCAACTGGGCACATCAAAAAGCATTTTGAATAAAAGCTGTCCAAAGAATTGACATATGAATTAATATGTGACTATATTAATGCTGAAGACTAGTATAAATGGGTGAGTGGATTAGGAGCAGATGCTCAAGAATACCTGAGAATAGGAAGGAAATTTGGCATACTTCCTTAACATGGCATTCTTATTGTTCCTGCATTTCACTTAGCACTTTAGTAATCAAAACACTTAAAATGTGTTTACTCAAAAAAGGAGTGCTTATCACCACTTGATAAACAGAAGCTAGAACTGAAGAAAAACAAACACTTAAAGGAGAAGTTTAACCAGAATTACTTAATGACTATTTGTAGAGCAAAATTATCCTTCTTAAGAATGAGACAACAGCCCAATTAATGGACAAAGGCTTTATTTTATGGTAGCACATGGGTGTTATATTGTCATGAGGTTTCAGTACAGAGGCTTTCATGTATCACAAGGTGAGGGATACGTTAATCACATCTTATTTATACTTGGAGGTTTTATACTGAGCAAACTCACAGTTCCAGATGGAAAGTCTGCAAAGGGTAATCAATTTTTGTTCTTGTCACTATCACTGTCACTCATTCTGTGTCTGCAAGCTTTATGCCATGAATCAATGGAAAAACTAATTTTTGTCAAAAAGAATTCTTCTGTAATTTTGAAAACAAACTTTTACTAGGAGACACTTGTTTCTAAGTAAAAAGTTTATTGTGAATATAAAACAAAAGTCCCAAATGGAGAACATTTGAATGAATATAAAATAATTGATTTGAGTTGATTTATTTGGGTTACCTATTTAATAACTATGGTTTTGAGCAACTGAACATAATTTTTATCTAAATTTCAACTACTATTAAGTAAAACCCAGAAACTAGACACTTACAATTTAATAAGCTTATCACTCATGGAAATAATTGCTAACTGGAAATTGTATAAATTGCCTACTAATATATGCTAACTTTGGATCTTTCTGGAACTTACAAATGAGAATACTTGCAAATATTTAAGGAGACATCTCAGCTTAGCAGACCATCATTAGTGGTGTTTTACGAAGGACTGGAACTATTTAAATTGCCCATGCATTTGTTCTTTCCATGTTTTCATTCAGTGAGCAATGTATTTCCCGTTTTGCACTTTGTGTGAGGGATGAGGGTAGAAAAAACCCATAATACTACACTTTTCAGAAGTATGGTACACACCCATAAGTTTAGAATACCCTCACATGGAATGTTTTGTCCTCATTTGGTCTTTTAGTGTAGGAAATTTATAAACATGCATAAATATAATACTTCTTCCTAAAAGAAAAGCATATGAACCCCAGATGAAAGTCTAGTTAATGGGATAATGAATGAGAAGCTTAGTTTTATTACTTGTCTCATTATCTCTCTTCAGTGAAGTCATTTAATTGCTCCTTATGCCTTTCTACAAAAAGAGAACTATATTTACTTGTCCTAGAAAAAAATTCTAGTAATGTTAACTAGTCAAAGTTAGTCTAAAAATTGCATTCAGGATGATACAGTTCAAATGAGTGAGAGCACATTCATAATCTGCTGAGTCTTATTTGCAAATGTAGGACTGTCTGGCAACACTGGCCCAGAGGCAGTGACATTGTAGGTCAGCTGTTGCATGGATTTAACCCAGAAATTACCATGTTTTGTTTGGTCCCTAAAGTTGTTTTTCTTTTTTTTTCATTGAGTCAACATTAAAATTTTGGCAGATTTCACATAAAATTCCACATTTCTATCTTCTGTTGGAATATGGCCACACTAGGCTTATACTCCTGCACAGGAGCAGTCAACTAGAAATAAATGTTCATCGCCACTGTCGAATGAGGTATAATTTTCCTTTTATTACTGTCCCCATCACATCTTGCTGTTCACCACAGACGCTGTACCCATTGCTATTGAACAGGAAGTTTGGTTTGTTGCTTTCCTTTCACTTTGTACCTCTCTAAAGAGGATAAATGAAATCTAGAACAGTAGTGCTTTTGTTTTAAAAAAAAAATGACCAAGTATTTTTGTTTTTGAAAGTAGAGGTATTGACAGTGTTTAATAGGGTTAGACAAATAATGTTTGTATGTGTTAAAAGCTTATATGTTGCTCATATAACTTAACACTCAGCTCCTATCAGTGAGTGTGTTTTAAGTTCCAAGCTTCAGCACCTCCCAGCCTACCCATGAGTTTGGCCTCAGATGCTCTGTAAATGGAATCCTCTTCTCAGAAGCCCTTGTCATGCTTCCTTTCCAGAACTGCTGAAACTGTCCAGCAGTCATTTTTAGATCTCATTATTGCTTTCTCTCTGCCCCTTTAAACTTGATGCTTTCCTTTCCTCCCCAGAACTGAGGCGCCTGTTTCATACAGCCCCTGCACCAAAATTGGATGCCAGATATAACAGAGTAATTCACTCATTCAACTACTCTTTGTGGAATATTTAATATTCTTCAGCTTTATTATAGGTCTGAGGGTGAAATCATGAACAAAATTGACCTAGTTAAGACTAATTCACAGCTTACATTGTAGAGGAAGAAACAGACAATAAAGATATAAGCAACAAATATATTACACACAGGTAAATAGAGCTGTGATGAAAAATAAAGCAAACTAAGGAGATGGAGAGTGGAGATGGCGATGGGGAGCTATTTTTGTATGTGTCATCACCTTTAAGGAAGTAACTGTTGAACTGAGAACTGAATGAGGCAACAGAGAATACCACGGAGCAAGTGCCAAGGTCCTAGAGCGGGAGCTGGCTTGGGACTCAGGAAGAGCAAGAACTATGGGAGGGGTAGATGCAGATGCAGGCCAGACATTCAGGGGCTTATAGCCAGGCTAAGCTGTTGGGATTTTATTCTGAGAGTAATGGAAATCACTGGAGTGTTTTCCAGAGGGAAATTATAAGGTCTACTTTACCATATCCAATCCAAGCTCCAACTTCGGAGAGCCCTCTTTTGGGAGAGGGGATCAGATAGAATAAAACTCTTGCAGGTTAGAGTTCTAGTTGAATTTGATAACAATAATCTAACTTATTTTAGCCAGTAGCAGCATTAGATTATATCCACAAGGGTTTTTTTTCTAAAAACACTGGACCTGGCGCAGAATAAGAAACAGAAAAGTGATGGATGAGAAGGGTGAAAATTTATACCGTATACCAAATGGTGTCAGCTCCTCTCTGAAAACAAACAGTGCGGGATAAGTGGACTTAGCCTATTTAAATGATCAAATTATACACCTTGTATGTTCATTTTCTACAGATAGTACTATGCATAGTCACGCAGTTTTCTCCTCACTCAGTAGCAAATACACTTAAAACAGCTTGAGCTTCTAAGTATTTTGAGAAATAGAGGTCTTCTGATTATTATTAAAATAAAGCCACTGTTGTATTAACTTAGTCCTTTAAAAATATTTTTTTAGTGCCCAGGAGGAGCATTTACACCCAATATGCGAACCACCAAGGACTTCCCAGACGATGTTGTCACTTTTATTCGGAACCACCCTCTCATGTACAATTCCATCTACCCAATCCACAGAAGGCCTTTGATTGTTCGTACAGGCACTGACTATAAGTACACAAAAATAGCTGTGGATCGAGTGAATGCTGCTGATGGTAGATACCATGTTCTGTTTCTCGGAACAGGTAAGTATTTGAGCTCAAACTAGCTTAATGTGTAGTAAAAGAGTGTACTTGCTACGGGCATGATATTGAAATCAGAAAAACTCCAGTGTTTACATGTGTCTGACTCTGAGGTGTTTTATGTCTTCATGCTTCAGTTTCTACATCTGTAAAATGGAGTTAAGATAAATTTATAGGATTGTTGTGAGGAACAAATGGGTTAATATATGTAAAGCACCTAGAACTGTTCCTGGCATATATTGTGGTGAAATAAGGTAATGAGATGAATGAAGGGATGGGAAATTTTAAGCATGAGTGTTCTCTCAACTAAAACAAATACTGTGACCGCTTCATAAACACATGGAGCCATATATGCTTTCCTGCCATCTCCAGGACGTTTCTTTATCAATTATATTATTATATACTTTATTCTTCCATTTCATCCTCCACTGAATTCTTGGTTTAGAAACCTTACACTAGCAAATGAAACTAGGCCTGTACCTTCACCTACTGCCACCTCTGCTATACTGCTGATTTCGCCAAGGTCTTCAGTGTTCCCATGATAAGAAAATCCAAAATCCTTTAACCACTGAAATGCCTCCGTATCCTCTTTGCCTCATTTGGCGTTTTAGAATCACCCTACCTGTTGCTTCACCCACAAGGCACATAATTTTCCTCTGTCTCTAGCAGTTCTCTCTCAGTTTCCTTCAGTAGCCTGGCTTTCTCCTCCCCATGAGTGTAGGTGTTTCCTGAGGTTCTCTGCATGGTCCTCTTATTTTTATGTATTCTTTGGCCATCTCATTCATTCATTTGGTTTTAATTAGTCTGTGCAAACAATCCCAGATGTGTATCTCTAGTCCTTGCCATTTTGTGAGCTCAGTATTTGCAGTTACAACTTATTATTAGGTAACACAAGTTGTATGACAGGTTAACATTTCAAACATCATGCTTCAAACTCAGTTTATTCACTTCTAAAACTCTTTAACCAGTGCTTAATCCAGTCTCCCATATTTGTATTCATTACCACACATTCCTTTCAAGGTTCTGTTTCTCCTTCATGTGTCCTTTCTCTCTAGGCATATCACAGTGCCAGGTAACCTCAGTAAATATTTGTCAAGATGAACTGAAAATCATAACTATATCCACTGCAACACGTACAATGAAATGAATTCATAACAGATTGCAAAAGCTAATCTTCACTTGCATAAAACTGTGTTCTCCAAAGATGTTGCCTCCATATAAGTAACTATAAAGAGCTTCTTTTAACCTTGATTCTGATCATCCAATGTGGAAATTGCATTTGAAAAAAAAATTTTGTTTCCTGAAGTGATGAGGTCATTTAGAGTCACACCTCTCTCTAATGTCTCATATTACTCAGAAAAAAATGACTGTTTTCTTATTTTCCTTTTGAAGGCTGTCTTAAATGTAGACTCTTTTCTTCCCCAGGTTTATTGAGATATAATTGAAATACATTACTGTATAAATTTAAGGTACACAACATAATGGTTTGACATATATATTGTGAAATGATTATTGCAATAAGTTTAGTTAACATCTATCATCTCATATAGATACAATAAAAAGAAAGAAAAAAATTTTTTTCCTTCTAATGAGAACTCTTAGAATTTATTCTCTTAATAGCGTTCATATATATCATACAGCAATGTAACTGTAGTACATCCCAAAACTATGGGGGTGTATGTTACATCCCTAGTACTTTGTATCTCATAACTGGAAGTTTGTACCTTTTGATTGCCTTCATTTAATTCTCCCTCTCTCCACGTCTGGTAATGAATGTGGTTTTTCATTTTGTTTTTGTTTTTGTTTCTTTATATTACACATATAAGTGAGAGCATACAATACTTGTCTTACTCTGTATGACTTTTTTTCACCTAGCATAATGCCATCAATTTCGATCCATGTTGTCACAAATGGCAAGATTTCATTCTTTTTACGGCAGAGTAATATTTTAAACCACACTTCTTTTTCTATTCATCTGTCAACAGACACTTAGGTTATTTCCACATCTTGGCTATTGTGAATAATGCTGCAGTGAACATAGAGGTGCAGATATCTTCTCTAGTTAGTGTTTTTGTTCCTCAGAGGTGGACTCTGATATCACATTCAGGTTGTTTTTTCATGAAAGTCTACATAAAATATGTAGGTTTCATGGATGGAATTTTCTATTCTTTATAAACTGTTCAGCAGTGTTTATTTAAATAGAAGGCAGTAAGAAACATGCTTTTGCACAAATTCTTTGGCTTTTCTTACCACACAAGTATCTGGCACCTTTACATAGACTTTTTATGTTGGTATTTAAAAACTTGTATCATTTTGGAGACCTTCAAGATGGCGGAAGAGTAAGACGCGGAGATCACCTTCCTCCCCACAGATACATCAGAAATACATCCACATGTGGAACAACTCCTACAGAACACCTACTGAACGCTGGTAGAAGACCTCAGACTTCCTCAAAGGCATGAAACTCCCCACCTACCTGGGCAGGGCAAAAGATAAAAGGAAAAACAGAGACAAAAGAATAGGTACGGGACCTGCACCAGTGGGAGGGAGCTGTGAAGGCGGAAAGGTTTCCACACACTAGGAAGCCCCTTCGCAGGCGGAGACTGCAGGTGGTGGAGCGGGGAAGCTTTGGAGCCGAGGAGGAGAGCGCAGCAACAGGGGTGTGGAAGGCAAAGCGGGGAGATTCCCGCACAGAAGATCGGTGCTGGCCAGCACTCATCAGCCCGAGAGGCTCGTCTGCTCACCCGCCGGGGTGGGTGGGGGCTGGGAGCTGAGGCTCCGGCTTCGGTGGATCCCAAGGAGAGGCCTGGGGTTGGCTGCGGGAACACAGCCTGAAGGGGGCTAGTGCGCAACAGCTAGCCGGGAGGGAGTCCGGGAAAATGTCTGGAACTGCCTAAGAGGCAAGAGACCATTGTTTCGGGGTGTGCAAGGAGAGGGGATTCAGAGCAACATCTAAATGAGCTCCAGAGATGGACACGAGCCGCAGCTATCATCGCAGACCCCAGAGATGGGCATGAAATGCTAAGGCTACTGCTGCAGCCACCAAGAAGCCTGTGTGTGAGCACAGGTCACTATCCACACCTCCCCTCCCAGGAGCCTGTGTGGCCCACCACTGCCAGGGTCCCGTGATCCAGGGACAACTTCCCCAGGCAAACACATGGTGCGCCTCAGGCTGTTGCAACGTCATGCTGGCCTCTGATGCAGCAAGCTCGTCCTGCATTCTGTACCTCTCCCCTCCCCCGAGCCTGAGTGAGCCAGAGCCCCCTAATCAGCTACTATTTTAACCCTGTCCTATCTGAACAAAGAACAGATGCCCTCAGGTGACCTACACGCAGAGGCGGGGCCAAATCCAAAACTGAACTGAGAAAGGGAAATCTCTCCCAGCAGCCTCAGGAGCAGAGGATTAAATCTCCACAATCAACTTGATGAACCCTGCATCTGTGGAATACCTGAATAGACAACGAATCACCCCAAAATTGAGGCGGTGGACTTTGGGAGCAACAACATATGTATTTTTTTGCTTTTTCTCTTTTTGTGAATGTGTATATATATGCTTCCTTGTGTGATTTTGTCTGTATAGCTTTGCTTTTACCATTTGTCCTAGGGTTCTCTCTGTCCAGTTTTTTTTCTTTTTTTTTTTTTAAGTATAGTTTTTAGCTCTTGTTATCATTGATGGATTTGTTTTTTGGTTTGGTTGCTCTCTTCTTTCTTTCTTTTTTTTTCTTTTTAATTTTTTTCTTTTTAAAAATTGTTTTTACTTTTTTATTTTAATTATTTTATTTTATATTATATTTTTCTTTCTTTCTTTTTTTCTCCCTTTTCCTCTGAGCCGTGTAGCTGACAGTGTCTTTGTGGTCTGGCTGGGTGTCAGGTCTGTGCCTCTGAGGTGGGGGAGCCAAGTTCAGGATATTGGTCCACCAGAGACCTCCCGGCTCCATGTAATATCAAATGGAGAAAGCTCTCCCAGAGATCTCCATCTCAACGCTAAGACCCAGCTCCACTCAACAACGAGCAAGCTACAGTGCTGCACACCCTATGCCAAACAACTAGCAAGACAGGAACACAACCACACTCATTAGCAGAGAGGCTGCCTAAAATCATAATAAGGTCACAGACACCCCAAAACACACCACTGGACGTGGCCCGACCCACCAGAAAGACAAGATCCAGCCTCATCCACCTGAACAAAGGCACTAGTCCCCTGCACCAGGAAGCCTACACAACCCACTGAACCAACCTTAGCCACTGGGGGCAGACACCAAAAACAATAGTAACTATGAACTGGCAGCCTGTGAAAAGGAGACCCCAAACACAATAAGTTAAGCAAAATGAGAAGACAGGGAAACACACAGCAGATGAAGGAGCAACGTAAAAACCCACTAGGCCAAACAAATGAAGAGGAAGTAGGCAGTCTACCTGAAAGAAAATTAGAGTAATGATAGTAAAGATGATCCAAAATCTTGGAAATAGAATGAAGAAAATACAAGAAACATTTAACAAGGACCTAGAAGAACTAAAGAGCAAACAAACACTGATGAACAACACAATAAATGAAATTAAAAATTCTCTAGAAGGAATCAATTGCAGAATAATGGAGACAGAAGAATGGAAAGTGACCTGGAAGATAAAATAGTGGAAATAACTACTGCAGAGCAGAATAAAGAAAAAAGAATGAAAAGAATGGAAGACAGTCACAGAGACCTCTGGGACAACATTAAATGCACCAACATTCGAATTATAGGGGTCCCAGATGAGGAAGAGAAAAAGAAAGGGACTGAGAAAATATTTGAAGAGATTATAGTTGTAAACTTCCCTAATATGGGAAAGGAAATACTTAATCAAGTCCAGGAAGCACAGAGAGTCCCATACAGGATAAATCCAAGGAGAAACACACCAAGACACATATTAATCAAACTATCAAAAATTAAATACAAAGAAAAAATATTAAATGCAGCAAGGGAAAAAACAACAAATAACATACAAGGGAATCCCCATAAGGTTAT